CTATTCAGTCAGATCACCTGATCTGGCAACCTTTTACGATCTTGTTCTTTTGGTAAATTATCCATCCATCCTTCATCCACACTTCTTTGTGAACACTCTACTGCAGATTTATATTGAATTTAATACCTGATATTTTGGTTCCTGATATGTTTGAAAACAATTAATTATTATAATGTCCTGGTGCTGTATTGAAATTCATCAAGCAAGAAGGGACTATGAACACTTTTTGAGAAACCCATTAATAGAAAAAATGAAGAAAGAAAAGAATGAATTATAATTTTAACTTGAGAAGCATTACTTACTTTTTACCCTAGACTTGTCTTTATGTGTTTATAGTCATTCTTATTCAGAGATACCGTAATGACCAATATAATTTTAAGTGGCCGATGTCCATTGTACTTCCACATGGGCACTATCCTGGACCAGGAGATGACAGCAGGTTTGTTTGGCTAGTCATCAGGAGAATCTGATTGACATACAGAATCATGTATTAATTTTATCCAGTCAATGAATTGCTGAAACCATATACACAATCCAAATCTCAAATTTTTTAAGATGGAGTTTTTTTCTTTGAGTAGCATCATGTAAAGACATTTCCAGAGAGCAAATCGTTCTTAGATTAATTAAGTTGTGTCAATAGTCTGATTTAATTATTCATTTTATTGCCACTGTAAGATGGGATTTTAATTTAAGATCAAATTACACTGGGTCTGATAATAATCATCATTAGTAATTGATCAGTACAGGTAGTTTTCTAAAAATATCATTTTTACCTACAACAACATCTATCTTCTGTCACACATAGCCATGATTCCATGTGGAATTCTGCCAAATTCAGGTAATTAATCACATCTTCCATCAGGTTTTGGATATAATAGGATATCAAAATAGAAATAAATAATAATTTCTGCTTGCAAAAGATTATTTTAATCAAACCTTTTTTGTATTTATAGCTTTTATACACGTGTGCATGTTAATATAAACCTAATTATTAAATTATGTATTTCTTGATATTTCAACTAGCATTGCACTCAGACAGGTTTTTATTTTGGCTTAAAATGCTATATAAATTATCATTTAGACATTTATTCTCATGACAAGACTATAATCAACTGTATAGGACATTGGATGGCACAGATTTAAACAAATCAAAATATGAATGCTATATATTGTGATTTAATTTTAAAATGGAGAAGCGAAGCCGAGTCTCAATTTACAAGTTACTTGCTGCCATAATAAACAATCTATGTCAAAACTTCAAACAGTGATAATATTGCTCAAGTAATTGTCCCCCCCTTTCGAAGAAAGCAGGGGACTATTAAAATGGGTTCGTCTGTCTGTCTGTCTGTCTGTCTTATCTGTCCATCCGTCAGTCCTTCACACTTTTTGGGACACAATAACTCTCTTTCTAATTGAACTCGAATGTTCAAACTTGGTGTAGGTGTTTATTAGGCCAGTGCCTTGATGGAGTTCGAAGATGAGCATTTTCTGCTTAGGGCAGAGATGAGCAATTTGATTGGTTGATGCTTTGGGACACGATAACTTTAGTTCTAATTAAGTGAGAGTGATGAAACTGGCAGGATAGTGGAGTAAGGGGGAGTCACGATCTGACGGCCTCGGCATCTAAACACTATTCCACCAAAAACAGACACCAAACCTACAGAGTGGGATAGTGGAGTAAGGGGAGGTCACGATAAGACGGGCCTGGCACCTAAACACAAACCCCTAAAAGATGACATCTACCAAACTAGCAGGATAGTCGAGTAAGGGGGAGTTACGGTCAGACGAACTTGGCACCTAAACACTATTCCGCAAATAAAACTGATACCAAACCCAGAGAGTGGGATAGTGGAGTAAGGGGAGGCCACGATAAGACGGGCCTGGCACCTAAACACTAACCCCAAACGATGACATCTACCAATCCAGAAGCAGACGAGATCATCTAAAAAACAGGAATCAGCTTCGGCTCTCCTATGTCTTGTCTGCGATATCACTTATGTGGAAGCAGACGTTAAACACCAAGAACTAACTAACTAACTGAAACTTGGTGTATAGTTTCATTACATCAATACCTTGACTAAGTTCGATAATGAGCATTTTCTGCTCAGGGTAAACAGAGCGATAAGCAGTTTGATTTGTCGAGACTTTGGAACACAATAACTCTCATTCTAATTGAGTTAGAATGTTCCCACTTGGTGTAGGTGTCTACTATGTGAATGCCTTGATGGGGTTCGAAGAAGATAATTTTCTGCTTAGGGTAAGCAGAGATAAGCAATTTGATTGGTTGATGCTTTGGGACACAATAATTTTAGTTCTAATTAAATAAGAGTGAGGTGTATAGCTTTATTACATCAATACCTTGACTAAGTTTGGTAAAGAACATTTTCTTCTGAGGGTAAGCAGAGCAATAAGCAATTTTATTGGTCAATACTTTGGAACATAACAACTCTCCTTTTAATTGAGGTAGAATGTTTAAACTAGATGTAGATGTTCATTAGGTGAATGTTTTGACCGAGTTCAATGATTAACTTGGTCTTGGTGTTGATGTTCATTAAAACTAAGCAGTAATTTCAGTTGGTGGTGTAGACTGTATATTATCTAATATTTGCCTCATGCTTTATTTGGTGTAATGCAGCTAAAAATTAAATAAAATCCTCCACTCCTAAGAAAAGGTGGTATTAAGTGTTTATTGGATTGTTTTTATATGCCCACATTTTCATGTATTATGCCGTCTCCCCTGTCCGTCCATTCGTCCCTCTGTCCACAATTTGTTAAAGATCTTGGTTCCTTTTGATATTGGCATGTATCGGAACATAACTACATGGATTATGGCCCCTGATTATACGAAAAATCGTCGCTCTTCTGGCGAACCGACGAATCTGATATATTTAAGTATTGAGAATTATGTGTTTGAAATTTGCGTTCTGTTGTTATCTCTGTGAACATCAAATAACATTCATTTGTGATTTAATATTTCATACATATACATCATGTTTATAACCCAAAGATCTTGGTTCCTTTTGATATTCACGCATATCAGATCACAACTTCCTGAATTGTACAAAAAATTGTACAAAAAAATGTACAAAAAATCGCGTTTTTAGATTGTGTTTCCTCTAAATGTCACAATTTTTATCCGATTTCAAAAAACGTTTGAATATATCACGGTTACACCTTCATGACATTTATGTTTGAGTGAAAATCAGACCAAAACTGCCGGACAAAATGGCTGCCCCTCGTACGCAAATACTTAATAGTGTAAATATATGATATATCAAAGTTGTGTTTAAATCACAAAGACCCTGGTTCCTTACGATAATCGCGCATATCCAAATGTAACTTCCTGGATTATTACCCCATGATTGTTTGAAAAATCGCATTTTTAGCTTGTACTCAATTTTAAAAAACGTTTAAATATACCACCTTTACACATCAATGAAGGTTGAGTTCCAATTTTGTGAAAATTGGACCAAAACTGCCTGGCAAGGTGGCGGCTCCTTGTACGCAAATAGTGTAAAAGTATGTCATAATTGTTATCCAATTTTGTTTAAACTTAAAATATATGTTTATGTCCCAAAGATATTGGTCCCTTTCACTATTTGCGCATATCAGACCGTAACTCCCTGGATTATGGCCCCTGATTGCACGAAAAATCATGTATTTTATACGTCCACATTCGTATATTGCCGTAACCCCTGTCTGTGTGGATGACCCCAGGGGCAGAGTCACACCCATTTTTACTTTTTGTCTCTGTGTATTGCCTACAGGCCATGATTCTTAATGGATCGTCTTTGAACTTGGGATATGTATTTCTTATAGCCTAAGGACGACAACTGCATGTACCGACCCCCAGCGGCAGGGCCACGCCCAATTTTTGTGCCACAATTCTGAATGGATCAACTTGGTACCTGGCATATGTATTCCTTATAGCCTAAGGGTGTCAACTATTAATTTTGGTGAATGCCCCAACCCCCAGGGGCAGAGCCACACCCAGTTTTTGCCTTAGTGCCCGAAGGCCACAATTCTGAATGGATTATCTTGGAACTTGGTATACTTATTCCTTATACCCTAAGGAGGCAAAGCAGGAATGTGAGCATATATTGCAGCGTTAGCGATGCTCTTGTTATTTTGTGGATTCTCTAGATGTCACATTTTTTTTTTATCTTGCCTGGCAACTGCTGTTTAACTTATCTTCTTCAAGATATTTTTACAGACTCCTCTTGATTCATGGATTTTGAGAAATGTCTGTTAACAAAATTCTTCAAAACTGTTTGATTTTAGAAATAGGAAATTCAGTAGTTTACTGAATGACATATCTTATATGTTTTTCACACAGATTGTGAAAAATAAATTATTTTATGTAATACATGTATTAATATAATTATTTTATTATCACTGCCAGGTGGAGATGTGTTATTAATCATATAAATGTGATTACCAATACAATTATTAAGGATTTATAGAAATTATCTGCTGTCAAAACTTTGATGAAGGGAACATCTGTTGATGAGGATAAGAGATAGTAAAAGGTTTTATATTGGATATTGAGCTGTTGGTTTTAATGCTGACTACAGGGGATATCCCATAAACTAGAGGCTCCAGGTTTATTGATAACGCCAGCCACAGATTAATCATTGTGCAAGAATAATCTAATTTATATTCTAATCGTGTGCCAGAAAGTTATTCTAACACACTATCTTAATCTAATCATGAAGTAAAAAAGTGGATTGAAAGACTAGAAAATGGTAAAAAAAAATATAAAAAGTCCACTCTATATAAAGAAATTAAGGAATTATACCGTCTGTTGCAGGACACCTAATTTATTTTCAACACGCTCATAACTCCCTAAGGGAGAAAATATCAATTATTGGAGTACAACTTTGGTTAATATTCTTTTTTCAAATGGGTCACCCTATTATGTACTTAAAGACATGATGGAATAAAGCCCACACAATTAATTACTCAACTCCTCTAATACATGGAAGTTTTATGTATTCTAGGAAGCAAGAAAGAAAATTATGGATCCTTTGAATGTTAAAAGCGGAATTTGCGAAGTACTCCTCTTACAAATGGTGATCGAAGTAAATTACAAGACAGTAAAATGATATTCTCTGAGGTTTTGCATTTCTAAGAAAGTGTAATACAATCCTTATTCCTATCAACTAAAGTGAAATAGACCAGGATGACAAAGTATCATGAAAATTGTTTGTGACTTAAATTTAAATTGACTGAAACACAGTTTTTTGTAATAAAATATGAAAAACATTAATCCAGTCCTTTCTTGTTTTAAACTGCTAAAAGAAATTATAGTCGTAACAGTATGTATTTTTTTTTTTGATTTGGTAATGGAAAGACTTTTCTTAGATTTATGGGGGTTTATTATGAGAAAATCGTAGGAATGTTATAAATTATAGAATAGAGTGAGTATCTCGAGGGATTGAGCTGAAGGAAACTAGGGGCCCTGTGAGATACGATTCATAGAGGTAGCTGTTTTAAAGAACATTGAGTTTCAGGTGGAGGAGTAGATTGGGTGCTTGCATACTTCTGGAGTTGATTGAGAGACTACATGTAGTTAGCAATTTTAGGCAAAGGAATTAATATGGAAGTTCATTAATTAAGTAATTGTATTTTTGAAATTTACTGCTTGAAGATCAATTTTAAGTTGTTTTTTTAGATGTTAGTGAATTTAATCAAGAAACTGCTTACAGATATTTTTGGAGTAGTAATCCAAAAGACTAGTGGAGGAGTTGATTGAGAGACTTTGTACAGGTTTCCGTTTGAGGATTTTATTAGGAGACTACTAAGAAGAGGTTTCAGATGTAGGGATTTCTAACGTCTTTCTTTCCATCTTCTATTAAGCAGTGGAATGATCTAAGTCTTCCAACAAAAAATTCCAAAACTATTTCTGAATTCAAAACTAAATTAAAATCAAGCTTGCACTTATTCAAAACTAATGCCCACTACTATATAGGCGAAAGGCATCTTCCGAAAATACACTGTAAACTTCGAAATTCAAAGAGCGATTTAATCCTTCACAAGTGTCTAATGCATATATCGGAAAATCCCTCTTGTTTATGTGGCCATGGTGTCGAAGACTGCGAACATTATTTCTTACACTATCCACTATACAACTCTCAGCGAAAAATAACAATAAATAAATTAGATATAGAACATAAAAATATACAAACAATACTTTCTGGAAACACAGCTATTTCTTTGGAGGACAATTCCTTCATCGTTGAAATCGTACATGACTTTATCAAACTAACTAAACGCTTTAAAACTGCCTAGATCATTTCCGCCCCCCCCCCCCCCTCCGAAAGCAGGTCACCTCATAAAACTTGGCGATTAAATTTTGGGCCTTTGCATCGACATCGTCTTATTGAATATCTACCGTTATAATCTACTTGTATGTGTATTGTATGTTCTTTCCAAGGGATCTTTACCTTCACCTTCTGCACCCTGTAAAATTTGTAAATCAAACATATCCAGTCATCTATCTTCTCAATGATCATTGTTTATGGAAGTGATTTTACATAAGCAGCAATGCTTGTTATTGTATCCATATATAGTATGTTAGATATATCTGTGACTCACTAATGAAATAAAATATTGTAAATCAAACATATCCAGTCATCTATCTTCTCAATGATCATTGTTTATGGAAGCGATTTTACATAAGCAGCAATGCTTGTTATTTTATCCATATATAGTATGTTAGATATATCTGTGACTCACTAATGAAATAAAATATTGTTTAAACCACAGATGTAGGGATTGATTGGGCGATCTACTCAGTTCCCAGAATTTTATGATGGTGAATTTAGAAATGAAATCGGAGTTTGACGTCCTATTATAACGGATTATAGGTTAATGGTGATAGGGGATATTCAGAAACAATACAATGCGGAAATGCAATGCTGTTTTTATTAGAGGTAACAAGTGTATGTTAATAACAGGCCAATTGCCTAAACATGAACATAAACAATTCGTATGGGCAGCTTATCTGACAGCCCCATTTCACTCACAAAGAGATTCACCGTCAAAAGTGAAAATGGACGTTTTTGATTTTTGTCTTAATGAGTAATTGCTACACCAATCCTCAGACATTCAGCAATTCGTCGTAGCATGCTCCTCATAAACCGTCCAATCACGATTTTGGGCAATCAAACCCTCTCCTCTTGCAGTGCCACGGCCAATTCTTGCAGTGTTGTCGGTTGACGTTGACGTCGACGAACACGTCTCCTGATCAAATTAAACGTAACACACTAAAGCAAAGATATGCTAAACATTCAATCTTATGCAAGAACCAAGAGGAAAGCAAACATGGATAGATAAACCAGCAGTATTCATCAACCCTTCCTTGAAGTGTCAAATTTGACAATGAACCCCTCCCACGTGTATGGCGCTATTGCGTGTCGCATGCATGTGCAGCTCAGTGGTTCTGTTGGGGTGATAAGTTTTCATCTGTGAACATACTGTCAAAGCATGTCAAGTGTCCATGACTATTTATCATATCACAACCTGCATAGGTATTTGCAATTCAATATCCTCTACTTTTTTTTGAAGAGTATATATAAGTTTCAAAGGGAGAAGTTAATTGAAAGCTTTTGGGTGGTGGGTTTGTTTGTTGGTGTAGGAGGATGAGAGACAAGAGTTTTTTGGTGAGGAAGATGATTAAGATGAATAATTACTTACCTGGCATTGTTTATCAAGGTTGTGGTGGAGTTGATTTGTGGAGATGGCGAATTCTGAGAGAGGAAATGATTGGGAAACTATTTAAGAGGTTTTTGTTTGAAATTATTGATGTGAATATAGGTTAGACTTAAGAGGTTTCTGTTTTAGGTGGTTCAGTTGATAGTAGTGTTGGAGGTTTCTATGGGGAGAATTGAGTGAAAGACTATTTAGAGAGGGGTTTTGGATGGATTAAATGATTGGAGTAGACAGGTTTATGTTTGAGGTAATGCTTGGAAAACTGTTTAGAATTTCTTTGTATGTTTTTGGTTGAAGAGTTGTTTTGAAGACTATTTATAGGATTATGTTGGAAGAGTTGATAGAGAGACTGCTTAAGCGGTTTACAGTGGGGGAATTTTTTTATGAAAACTAGCTAAAGAAATAATGGGTGTTTAGCACACAATCAACATAAGCCAGGTTATTTTTAGACTACCTTGGTATATTTAAATTTAGTTAAGCAGCAGGTCTTTACAATGGGAGAGAACAGGGGAAAAATGCCAAATTTAAGCATTTAACAGTAAATCTTAACCCCACTCCTTATTAGATATAAAGGTGGGTTCCAACTGATGACTTTGCCCAGACTTAGATTTCAAGGATGTGATCTATCAGAAATGGGCATGGAAAAAGAAAATATGACCTTGAGTATGATGTACAGTATGTTTTCATTTTCTGCAACAGTATATCAATCTTTTTTCTTTTCCAGCTTGATCAGTTCAACAAACCTTTTATGTTTTTGATTCAAAGTTTCCACTCTTTAGTAATTACCAATAACTAGTATTATTATAAACAAGTCTCGGTTTCATTATTAAGTCTTTCAGTTGCTAAATAAAATGTGTTCTTCTGTATCCAAACATTGCACATTCTTTAATACTATTGACATTCAAATTATATTGGAGAAGAAACTAGAAATGAAAAAACAATATGGATACGATTACATAATTACCATGAAAAGTTGCAATTAACAGAAATAATTGTCATAATTAAATACTAATCCTCCTAAAGATGATGATTTTATTATCAATAAAATGGTGAAACAGTTAAATTATATTGATTGTTTAATTCATCCCTCTGATTATGGCAGCCATCTTAGGATAACCATTGGTTGTCATTAGTAATAGAAGCATTGGATCAATACTGATGTATCAGTGGACGAGTCCTACTTCCATGTAGCCACATGCTGCCTGAAAGTGTTCTCAATGTGTATATGATCAACACACAATATCTCCAAACTGTCATTCGACTCACATTTTTTATTCATCTGCTCCTCTTCTGCTGCAAGAATGGAAGTCAAAGACACCATGAACAGGTCTATATTGTGCCATTAATATATTATAGATTGGATTGTAAACATGGTTTTCTTGCTGCCAAACCTCTAACATAGATAACATTAATATCAGGAATGGAATATATGGGTCTGTTTAAGGTAGGTTTATACTGAGTCTTCAAAGGTTGTTTACATACAATATTCTACAACATTTTATATTATTTATACTGTTGTTTGCATATATGGTCATCATGGGATATCTGTTGGTCTTCAGCTTTATATCGTGGCTAGCATTGACTTGATGTGGAAGATAACTCTTTTGTGCAAGATTATAGTCTAATCTGTGTTTTTTGGTAAAATATTCCTGCTGTATTACCAGTACCTTCTTCTATAATTATCCACATATTCAGTGAAATGAGGGTGATTGGGTGGCCGAATGGTTAACAGTAACACCTGTGCGTTGCATCATAAGGTCTGTCATTGAGTCAAGTAGTGTGGTTTTTATTCCCCACTTGTATGTGACAAGGAGTAGGGTCGCCTGTCCAGCCTCGTGGGCTTTCTCCGTGTCCCCTGGTTTCTTCCCACTGCTGAAGACCCCTATCTGTAATTGAATTATTGAAATAAAGTTGAACCATATGTTAGTCCTCTCTCTCTCTCTCTCAGTGAAATGAAGTGATTAGAGCAATTTTCATTGTGAATTTAAAGCTAAATTTCTGTATAGAAAGTATGCGATCGAACGTTACGTCTGTGTGTGTGTGTGTTCCTCCCCCCCCCCCACCCAATCTATGATTATTTAGCACAAAGTAGATGTTGTTATTCAAAAATTTGCTTTTTGCTTCAGAAAAAAGCCCTTAGAACCCTCAACCCTTTCAGTATGGAGAATGTTTCTATACACCCATTTTTTTTAATGTGATTGTATATTCTTAACACTCATGTCCAGCATCGGGCTCTCCATTCATATTTAGTTGGCGAGTGTTGAATGTTTGTGTTACATAAGATTAAACACATCAGTGCATTTCCTCAATTATTCACAAAGGTATGGTTCTTGCCTAAAAAACATGAAGAAGAATAAGTTTGAAAATCAATTAAATTATTTATGGAGTATTGGTGAGTATTTTGAAAATTGTGCGGTTTATTTGTAGCATCCTAGAGAGAATATGCATGACTGACCACTAGTGGGCATATATTTTGTTGCTGTCAAAAATTTGTTGAAATATATCTTTTGAAAATTGAAAGCATAATAATTACTTGCTTAGCCCTCTTTATTCTTTTCATGCTGGATTTACATAATAAATATATTTTATAATTTTATCAATTGTGATTGCAAAAATAAACTATATACCAGTACTATGAACTAGAGTTTTATATCCTTATGGTCAAATTTAATAGTTATAAATAACTTTAAGTTACAAACAACTTTACACATATCTTTAGATATCTAACAATATTAAAATCCTTTATGTTGAATACTATGCATAAAATGCGGATATGTCACCAAACAAGTAAGGAAAGCCATAGTACATATTTTTGACAGCTGAGTATAAACTTCTACTTTTCTTTATCATTAGAAATATACTTTGAGATGAAAATAGGTTTTGCAGGTGGAATGGATGATCTAAATATTTTTGATGCTATAAAATGACAATATCGCAGAAAATCAAATCCCTGTTCACTTATGTCTTTGCATAATACTTAAATATCATAATTTAAGTTATATTCTGGATGGATACAATGGAAAGTGGTAAACATACAATGTATTTATAATGTTGAACACAGTAAGACCAAAGAAGAACATATAGTAAGTGCAGGAAGACCACAAGATATAGGGTTTCCAATAGAAAACGTTGCCTTCTGCCAACCAGCACATAAAAGGACAAAGGCTGGAAAGGTCTGAAAAACATTCTTGACTAATACTGAGATGAAACCTGTGACCTCCTCGATAGTGAGCCACAACATGCAGTAAAAATTAATGGTTTGTATGATTTTGCTTCAAATTGAGGTAGAATCTTTCAATTCGTTGGATATTGATCGATTGGCTGATTGATCTAACTTATGCACTTTAGATCATAAGGTCTGTCATTGAGTAAAGTGAAATGGTTTCAACCCCACACTTGTACATGACATGGAGTGGGATCACCTGCCTAATCTCGTGAGTTTTCTTTGGTCCTCAAGGGTTCGCCGTTTTTTCCCAATAATTCAAGACTTTTGTGCACTGAATTATTGAAAAAAAATTCTACCATATATTAGACCCAAAATGACATAGTTTGTGTTGAGTGGACATTAAACCCATCTCTCTTTTAAACTTAGGTGTAGATGTTTTTCAGGTGAATATCTTCAAAGAGTTTGATGAATTTTTTCTGCTTAGGCTAAGCAAAGATGAGAAATTTGATAAGTTGAGACTTTGAAATATGATAGCCTTAATTCTAATTGGGTGAAGGTGAGGAAACAAGATGTATATTTTCATTACAGCAATATCTTGTCTAAGTTTCATAATGACCATTTGCTGCTCAAGTTGAGAAGAATGATAAGAAATTTGATCGCTACAATGTTTCATCAAAAGCTAAATGTATGATTAATTAACGGTGATTTAGGCAGTAGACATCCCCCTCACTGTTGGCTTGTTTGTCACTAGTAATAGACTGTTGTGAAATCAGGTAAACAGATCATGTGTTGGTTATAAAATAGGCTTTCGGCTATATTTGAATAATAAGCAGACCCATTCCATTTGACATGCCATCAGAAATTTTACCTTTAATTTTAATGCAGGAATATTTAGTCCATGTACATGTACCTATATAATTACCTAATTACCATCAAGTAGAATATGTCTAGGTTTCGCAAACAACAGCATTTGTATTGTTTGTACATGTTCCTTGTATGTGGTTAATTTCCGATGTCTAGTATCAAACAATAGTGGCTCTCTGATTTCAGTTCCTTTTGCATAATTACAACAAGGAACATGCGATGTTCTAATTACCGCTCTTGAAAGTCCAATTGTCTGTGTGACATCTAATATTTGTAATAGAATTTTCATGATACATTTAACTTCATCTTTGCCTTATCACAGCACAATATTGTATCTTAACAATGACTCTTATTAAACTTGTGGCTAGTTATTGTATGGTCAAACATTCAAAGTTTGCATAACTAAAATCCCTCCCTGATTGTAAATGCTTAAAGTGGCAAGAGGAATTAAACAAAAGTTTAAACTAGTCTTTTATCAACAGTGATAGTGTCTTGATGAACTTTTAAAATTAAAGGACAAGGTTAACATTGGTGTTCACCAATATTACATTAATTGTGACAGAACTGGTGACAATTATAATCTTTGAATGGCATTTAGTGATTGAACATAATATAACACAACACAGTTCTATGGATAACAATCACTATATATACACATGACGTTTCAACAAGATTTCACTGGTCGTTAGAGAAACCATAAGTTAACAATCATGAAACCCTATGGTTAACTTATTGTTTCTCTAATTATTGTTCAATGTACCTATATATAACACTGTCACAATTCTTTCCTCATTTGTAATTTGTATGCTTGATAATGACCAGTGAAATCTTGTTGAAACATCATTTGTATATAATATAGTGATTGTTACCCATAGAACTGTAGCTGTTGTGTTATATGTGTTATGGTTAGTGAGAGAGAGAGAGAGAGAGTTTAATGTCCACTAGGTCATTTTGGGAATAACACATGGTTCAATATTATTTCCATAATTCGCATGCACGTAGGGGTGTTTAGCAGTGGGATGAAACCGGAGGACCCGAAGAAAACCCACGAGGTTCGACAGGCGACCCTACTCCTTGTCACATACAACCAGGAAATCAAACCACGCAAGTTGACTCAATGACAGACCTTATGATACAGTGCGCAGGCGCTAACCCCCCTATCAACAATGTAATTATAATGCCAGATTCAGATTTTAGACTATCAAACTGACCATAAAGTCATTTGTTTTTATATACGCCAACATTTTCATATAGACGAATATTGTTGTCGCCCCTGTGTGTTCGTCAAAATTTGTTTGTGGACACGCTACAGGTCATAGTTTTATCCAATTTTTACGAAACTTGAAATATAGGTTTATCTCCAAAAGATCTAGCCCAATCTTGATGAAAATATATATATGGTTATATCCCAAAGATCTTGATCAGTTCCTTTCGATATTCGTGCATTTCAGACCATAACTTCCTGGATTATGGCCGCTGATTGTACAAAAAATTGTGTTTTTCTTTTAGCTTGTTGTCTATTCATCTCTTGTAAAATGTGGGCATATCTTGCATGGCAACCGCTGGTTATTGTAAGTGTTTAAACCCTAGCACTGTAGTGATTTTTCTTTGAATTTTGGGCTCACAGCCTCCCTTTAAGTTCAGTGCCTGTAATTTGTACAGATGAAACAAAGAGATCTTTGGTCAGATTACAGTGTGCTTATATGACGAACATTATAACTTATACATGATCAATTACAAAATTAATATTTCAGGAAAAACATAGGCACACCCTTGTATTTATTATATTTCATTTCTTCTAACGGAAATAGAATAATATTGATTATGATAAATTATCACACTGAGTGATGGTTGCAATCTTTGATTTTAAAAGAAATATTTTTATTAAGATGCAATTCTGTTGATAACCAAATTAATATTATGCTATCTGAAAGGACAGAGATTTAATATATTTACCTGGCAACAAAAGAAAATATAAACTGTTCATCAAATGACGCAAGATAGAATATTGATATTTGACTCAAAATTTTGATGAGAATTGATAAGCCAGCATTGAAATGTGGTCATAATTTGTACCTCAAGCCTCTCCATTGGTCTAATGTCTACAATTGCTAAAGTTATTATTCAGTTGACTTTATATTTATATATGGTGTTTATGTTTATAAAATGATTTATCAGAGTTACCATATCGATAAGTTTGAACATTTCTAGAATTTCTGATATTTACGGTTGGAGTTCTGGTTCTTTATGAATTTGAAATGTCTTTTGGGGACGCTCTAGAGGCTATAGTTATTATCCAATTGACTTGAAATTTAACAGTGTTAAAAGTTCATGAGACAAAGAAGAAGGGTATTGATGATTTCTGATAATTACTGTTACTTGATCAATTTGTAAGATCCTGTGGACGCTCTAGAAGCTAGTTTTCATCATTTTAATTTATTTATAATAATTACTTCATGTTTTTTTTTCCTTATTACTAACTGAACAGTGAGAGCAAGTCTAAGGATAATCTCAAAAGCTTTGAAATCTAGAATGTTTACATGGTTTTGTGATCGTAGCAATGAATTTTATTTGGAAGTTTTCACAGGTTTCTCCTTGTGACAAACCTGTAGAGTATTTACAGCATTTCCAGAACAAGAGCATAACCTCATAGGGTAAATATTCCAAGATATTTTAGATTTCTTATTGCAATATTTCAAGCATAGAGAGTGTACATGAAAATTATATGAATAGACAGAAATAAACCAGTACTTTAATCACATGAAATTATGGATAGATAATAGTGTTTAGGAAAATTATCAAAATATTAAGGTTCATTCCTAGTGGCTTGACTAATTGTATACATAATTAATGTGTGTGAAATATATACAATACAATATAAAATGGGAAATTATGTTTTAGTTACTATAGTCCAAAATATATGATTCACATTTATTTCTAAGATAGATGTGACGTTTAAAGTTCTTTGCGCATTATTCAACAAATATTCAATTACCACTTGCGGATCAGGTCTAACAACTACTGGAAGGAATAAGTATGTCATGTTGTACATTAAAATGCTTAAATTCTGCCTGTGAGCAATTTGACAAAGTTAAAAAAAAAGAAAAATATTTAACAAATATTTTGTGAAGGGAGAAATATTACAACCATGTGTTGACATTGATGACTAAGATGTAAAACTTTGACAGGTTTTTTGACTTCTAGCACGTTTAATCTGGATGAGTTCAATTTAACGTACGGGGAAACTACTTGTTTGAATTTGAAGAGTATGTGTATACATTGAAGTCGTCCTTGTTTGTCAAAAAAAAAGGAAAAAGATCTCAACCCAAAAGAAGAAAAGCTATCACAACTATAGGTAAAGTAATTATATGAATGACACCATATATAACAAGACTGTCTTTGTATTTCCAAATGGGTGTTGTTGAGGAAGATTAAAGAAATAATTAAAATGTAACGAACAGGACTGTGACTATAGAAGAACAAGAACATCAGTTACTTCAGTTATTCTACACATAGCTGTTATAACAACTTAACAGTAAAGACAAGTTTTTTTAAAGTTCAGGACATGCAGTAAGTTGATAAAATATACTTTTTTGGTTTTGCAACAAGATGCCAGCAAGGGAGAGTAGTGCTTTCACTAAGAAATTAAATATCTCAAATTCATATTTTAAATGATATTTTATTACTCTACTACTGTTATAATCTTAAATTGTGTTTTTATAAAATTTAAACTGAATATTGACTTCCAAAACAAGGGATATTTTGTTGGGTAATGTTTTAGCGTTTATGCTTATGCATTTCTTCTTTAAAACAGTTGTCCCTGATATACTTTAATGAATAAAATGGTTACCTCTGTATGAAAGACATTTAAAAATGTGGATCTTGGTCCTTTGCAGCTATCTAAATCTTTGCAATAATTTTCTGAAAAATACTAACTTTCCATGTTGGCTGGCAATTGTCTCCAGTTCGATTTTTGGATAACTAAGCATATTCTTGCTGAAACTATTTGTAAGAGAGTGTTTTGATTATCAGTTGGAATCAAACCAGGGTTCTTTATCCATTTTGAAACGAACCGGCCAGAATTGAGTCAAATGAGGTCCTGGTAGGAACTAGGTTTTAGAATTTTAAGCATCCATTTCCTTTAATCTAACCAGATTTCAACAAAAATACTTCTGGGAAATTTTTATGAGGAATATCGTTTTCTTCTTTATGTAATTAGCACAAAAATAACGACAAATAGGTACATTTTTAATTCTTGTACCGGCTTGAAATTGATGTCAGTAATATTCCTGAATAAATTACTGTATTCTTTTTTTTTTTTTTTTTTTTTTTTGATGGATATAAGCTGATACGGCACCGTGGTATTTCTTCATAACACAAGACAATTTGTAACTTGCAAATGTTTTTATTCATTGATCCATGATAGACACACGGCACAGTGATCACGTGACAACCATAATTGAAATGGCTTTAAAATTAAATTCCAAACGACTGTGCCATATAGCATTCAATAATAATAATAACGACAATATTTTTAAAAAAATAAGCCTCTGTCAGCATATGTATAAAATAAAAAATCATAACGGTAAACGCTATTTAAAACTAAAAACTAAAACTAGCATCGCTTGTTTACTGACCTAATGCCAACCGATATCATGTGTCATCGGGGATTCGGCATTGGAGATTCATATTATTAATGACTGTTTCTCAGTGTATTTGGTGTTCTATCTGAGGATTATATTCAACTAAGATTTAAATTTAACTAACAACCGGTCAATGAAACCATTAAATTATGATCCAATTATTATTTTCCCCCGCCTTTCGCAGAAAGCAGGGGACTATTAAAATGGGTCCGCCCGTCTGTCATCGGGGATTCGGCATTGCAGATTCATATTATTAATGACTGTTTCTCAGTTTATTTGGTGTTCTATCTGAGGATCATATTCAACTAAGATTTAAATTTAACTAACAACCCAACCGGTCAGTGAAACCATTAAATTATGATCCAATTATTATTGTCCCCCGCCTTTCGAAGAAAGCAGGGGACTATTAAAATGGGTCCGTCCGTCCTTCCTTCTGTCTGTCTGTTCGTCTGTCTGTTCGCCTGTCTGTCTGTCTGTCATACTTTTTGGGACACAATAACTCTTCTTCTAATTGAGCTAGAATGTTCAAACTTGCTGTAGGTGTTTATGAGGTCAATGCCTTGATAGAGTGCAAAGATGAGCATTTTCTGCTTATGGTAAGTAGAGATAGGCAATTTGATTGGTTGATGCTTTGGGACATGATAACTTTAGTTCTAATTAAGTGAGAGTGATGAAACTTAGTGTATAGTTTCATTACATCAATACCTTGACTAAGTTCGATGATGAGAATTGTCTGCTTAGGCTAAGGAGCAATAAGCATTTTGATTGGTCAAGACTTTTGAACATGACAACTCTGCTTCTAATTTAGGTAGAATGTTTAAACTTGATGTAGATATTCGTCTTGACTGAGTTCAATGATTAACATATCGTGCTAAAGCTAAGCAGAGATAAACAATTTCCTTGGTCGATGCTTTGGGACAAGATAACTTTGATTCTATCTGATAGATTTAGTGTATAGTTGATAATCAGTTTGATTGCTCGCTACTTTTGAAAAGAATAGATGTGCGATTAATTAATATGTGTCTTCTATTTATTTGGGGATTTCGGCGGGGGACATCAGCCTCACTGTTGGCTTGTTAACAAGTAATGATTAAACCATTGTAATTTAACCGAAAGTAGATTGATTTATGATACCATAGTGGTCAGTTCATTGTTTTATCAATCTGCTTGATTGAACTTCAAGCAGCTAAAGCTGAATAAAAAACACCTGATTAAGATCCGTGAATCAAACCCTGTTAAGGAAATCTAGAACTAATTTTTGGATGGTTGACGATTTTAATTTAAGATTTCCTATTTCTTCACAGTTTCTCTTTTGATTTTCATACCTAAGCTCACTTAGAATTTAAGAACACCACTTTAACTTTCTACATTGTGTAAACGTATTGACATCAAATAAAAAATGAGATCCTTTATGTCTGGTCATGTTTGAGTGTTCGCTAAAATTTTGCTTTCAAGTAATACAGTAGCATGTTTTCTAATAAATTTTGAAATATTTTGACATTTTCAAATTGTTTCTTGAAAATCTCAAATCCCAGATTTCTCTCTGTACTTCACAACAAAATTCAATAAATAGTTGGTTAATCCTGTTTAAATGACAAAAACTGGCTCAGCATATCTTGATATCTGCAATCTAACAGAAAACAGTGATGTAGTCTTTATTTTGTGGAGCAAAGAAATACTTGATATTGTTGACTGGGCAGTATTTAGTGTGGAATGGGCTTTGTTTGTTACATAAACACAGGGAAAGATGGCCAACATGTGCGAGTTAATCATATTTTTGACCTGTGTGAGATTATGGAAGGATGTTTTTGTTGACGATGGTCTCTGTCTATCCAATATTGACAGTAATAAGAGATTGTTATTTGCTATGTCTTTATATTTCGTGTTATTTTATTAACAGTATAAGAGCACTTCAATACTTGAAAATATCAACACAGACATACTAATCTCTAGTCTATAATATCTGTGGATTAAATCCATCAGTACCCATTAGATCAATATCAAAAGTACTTTAAGCTCAATTTCTTGAATTTTACAATGTTATAATAGTGCTACAATAGTACTACCGGTATATGATTCTCTTCCTGAAAAACTTTGTGGTTACTGAACTCAAAACTATAATGCCCTCCGTTCAGATCCTTACTTTGATTAAAGAGGACTATCAGGATTCGTCACATTCGATTTGAAAGCCTGTAGGTAAATCAGTATCTACCTCACTAAATAATTAATCATATTATGACACAGCCCTTCACTAAATATAGGTAAGAATAGAATTTTTATTATATCAAAGCGTCCTTTAAGGACAGCATTACATATCCAATATACAAAAGTATAAAATAAAAGTACAAAAATTATAAATTGGTAGATCCCATGGCATTTGGAATTCTAAGAAGAGTAGGATGATGTATTATAAATAGTAGGAATTTAATACAGCAGACTTGAAAATAATATATTTATAGAAAAGGATGTTGTCCTTCCAGTTGATGTCAATGTGATTTTGTTTTTAACATTGCACAGGTTGATTAATGTATGCACTGGTGGAGTAACATAATATGCTGCTTTATTCCTGATGGAGTTGAAACAATATATATCTTTTGAACCAAATTACTGACATGGTTGTTGAATAAAATTGATTTCCTGTTCATTTACATCACTTTGATGATTGATGTAACATTTTGCTATGGTGTTTATGTTATCTAACAGAATGGTTGAAGTATGCGTTAAATAAGTGAACAATCATTTAAAGTATATGTGTATTTTAGCAGCAATACCATTATTTCTAGTTTTAATGCTAGACCCTTACATTACTAAATAAATGTTGTCGTTTTCAGGCAATGGATTAAGCATGCATGGGGCCCCTGGCAGAAAAAGGTCACTTGGGCCTTTGCATAAACGTTGAAAAGGAGTCATTGTCCGGTCATGTCCCCCGGTTGCCTTATGTCCACCTTGTTTAACTCCACCATAATTACATATAACATATTTATTTATGGTACAATTTTTTTTAGAACTAATTTGGGAATACAAAATTGTTTTTAGAACTAATCTGGGCCCGCTAGCTGCAGAACAGTCAGAAATGTAAAAGTAAAATATTTGTATTTTTTTATACGCCCACATTTTCATGTGGACATTTATTGTCGTTGCCCCTGTCCGTCCGTCCACTATTTTTTTGTAGACACTCTACAGGTCACAATTCTTATCTGATTTTGACGAAACTTGAAATATAGGTTTATCTCCGAAAAATCTCTGTTCCTTTCGATATTGGCATGTATGGATCAAAACTTCATGGATTATAGCCCCTGATTGTACGAAAAATCATGTTTTTAGATTATGGACACTCTAGAGGTCACAATCTGATTTTGATGAAACTTGAAATGCATGTTTAAAACTCAAAGTTCTTGGTTCCTTTCGATATTTTCGCATATCGGATCATAACTTCCTGATTTATGACCCCCGATTGTACGAAAAATCTGACTATCTGATTTACCGTTACACTGTAATGATGGTTGAGTTCAAATTTCATGAAAATCGAACCAAAACTGCTTGACAAAATGACCGCCCCTCATACGCAAATAATGTTAATATATAGTATATCAAGGTTGTGGACCCCCTAGAGACCACAATTTTGATCCGATTTTGATGAAACTTGAAATACATCTTTATAACCCAAAGATCTTGGTTCCTTTTGATATTCATGCATATTGAATCGTAACTTCATGAATTATGACCCTTGATTGTGCAAAAAAAAATTGCATTTTTAGCTTGTGGTCCCTCTAGAGGTCACAATTTTTATCCAGTTTAAAAAAAACGTTTGAATGTATGACCGTTAGACCCTAATGAAGGTTGAGTTCAAATTTCTCTTGCAAAATGCAAAAAGTGGGCGTATCTTGCCTGGCAACCGCTGGTTATTTATGTTAATCAGGTAAATAA